TTCTGTAACAGTTAAAGACAGTCCGCTGTAGGTCGGGGGCCAGTCAGGGCGTGTCTCAGTCAGCTCAGGCTGCCGTGACCAAGTGCCATAGACAGTGGCTCAAACAGCAGAGGTTTCTTTCTCACACTCCGGAGGCTGGAAGTTTCAGGTCACGGTGTCAGCAGAGGAGGTTCATCCTGAGGCCTCCCTTTTTGGCTTGAGGCGGCTGCCGTCTTGCTGTGACTTTATGTGGCCTTCTCAGTGCTTGTGTGGAGAGCAGATTCAGGGGTCTCATAAGGACACCAGTCCTTTCAGATCAGGACTCCACCCTCATGGCCTCATTTCACCTTAATTTCTTCCTTAGAGACCCCATCTCCAAATATAGCCACATGGGCTTAGGGCTTCCACATAATGAATTTCAAGGGCCCATAACCATCAGCCCATGACAGGGTCTCATGAGGAGACATCTCCTGGGACCTGGTCTTTAGCTCTGGGGTAACACCAGTAGGACTTTGTTTCTTTGCATGTGCTCCCTGGACCTACCTGGTTAATGGTAAGCCGGCTCGCAAGAACTAGTGGTGGCTGTGCCATCCTGTCTGCTTAGTCGTTTGGGTGTCTCCCTTCCTAGCAGTGAGATGTGTGTTCTTGCTTTCCAACACACCTTCGTGTGACAGTACCCTGGGTAGTGTGCAGAAGTTAGTACTAAGCATGCAACGAGAGCAAGGGAGGTAGGTGGTTTTGAGACAGTGCACTCAGGTCCCAGGGGCCCCGTGGACATCCCTCCCCACTGCTGAGGACACCCAAATGCACCTGGTTCCCCCGAGCTCAGCTGTGTTCAGGCCCCAGAACAGTCAGGCCTGCCCTGCACGCGTCCCCGTGGTGGCCATCACCAGCATGCTGCTGGACTGTGCTTGTCTGCTCAGAGTGGGGCATTCCATAATGAAGGCAGAAGCTCCTTCCTGCCCTGGGGCCTCAGACCGTCTTCCACCTGAAGTTTCTCTCTCTCTTTCATTTGCTCACTCTAATTCCCACCTCTCCTGTCCCGAAACTCCCATGGAGGACACTCCATGCCCGTCATTCCCTCCCAGGTGCCTGGGACAGTGTTTGCTGCAGGTGGGCCTGTAGTTATGAGGTGTCGAATGAGTGAGTGGTGGTCCAGTTGGCAGCTTTTCCTCAGCATTTTAGGGCAGCCTCATAGTGATTCTGCTAGTTTCAGTGCAAGTGAGATTTGGCAAATTTAAATAAGTTGTTGAAGAGATGCTAGTATTGTTTCACATAACAATCAGCAAATTGCAGGGTTGACAGGAAAACCCTCTGTGTTACTTCTAGACGTTGCCTGTTTCTTCTTTGAGCAGCTCCAGCTGTCGGCATCTCCTCCTTGTGCTGAGTCCATGGAGGCCACTCTGCCTCCCTCCACTTGTCAGGGGTGTCCTCCTCCCACTGCTTATCGGACGATGCGTGGTTTTTGGTCTCTTTGCCACCTTGGTCATTTCGGTAGGACACATTGCTCTGGTTGTTTAGTGTTCTCGAGGCAGTCTAGACTTGAGTGTAGTCTAGACCTGAGTGCAGTCTAGACCTCAAGGTAG